ACGTGATGGCTAGTGTACCTTCGACCCACCCGATCGTGACGAGAGTTTCAATCCTTGACACCTAATGCAGAACCAACTCCAAAGTATCCTCATTTGCAATTACCATTCTAAAGGATATCTACAAGCACTTCATAATCCACACAGAGTACATCACCGTTACAAAGTCAAAATTTGAGAACTTCCTGAAATAGTATTCTTACTGCCAGATATAAACTGTTTATATGTCGTGAACAAAGGGGAAGCATTATTTTCGTAGGTTGGCCTGCTCGCGTACCCTCGTATCCAGACCTCTCTCGTTTCTGACCTAGCGACAGGTCTTAGCGGTCCTAGTGGGGGATGGCTCTGGTAACAGCCATAAACTCATGCGTGCAATGCCATTTGCCTAAGAATAAGCTATTGATGTGAAGTATATGTGAAATAATTCATTTTTGAACTGCGGTTGTAGATGAAAGTGAAGAGTGATCATCGCAGTAAATTTTCCAATTTAAGCAATGGAAAGAAGAAGCCTGAAAAAAATCAGGGCTTCAACGGGATTCGAACCCGTGACCCCCGCGTTACCGGTGCGTTGCTCTACCAACTGAGCTATGAAGTTCAAAAATGAATTATTTCATATATAATTCACATCATTTCACTCCTCACGGGAGATATGTACTCAATAAATTGACCTCGCTCCCAATGTGTTGCTTCATAGCTCAGTTGGTAGAGCAACGCACCGGTTACGCTACATTGCGACACAATGGCTACGGTTGAATCATGTCCAGATTGTGCACGGTTTGCTAATGAGACCGTCCCTTTCTAAGCAATTCTCTTTTTGACCCAGGACAAATTTCTCGAGAATGCGCCATCATTTTTGGGCTTTAGGATAGCAAGCTATCGCGGAACGGTATGTGGTCACGTGCAAGTTCACCGTGGAGGCCGCATCGTTTTAATCGAGTAACGTCTTTGGATACAATTGTTCTCGTTTACACGGGGTCGTAGATATTTTACGCTTTTGGCGCTGTGGGATTGTTCCATCGAGGGCCGGGGGGAAGGAGGGGGGAGGCGGGACGTAAGATATCTTAAAGTTTGCAAAGTCCAACAATGGTTGTCTTTACACTAGGCTGTTAAGTAAGACTTAAGAGCCGCTAAAATTTTACTTAACCAAAAATTCGTGTGTGAAGGCCTAAGTAAAATCTCAAGTAACTTTGCTTTGCATCTCATTAAAGTCGGAAAGTTGAAACGATTCAAGAAAGTTTCAAGCGACTTGAAAACCATCCTTATGACCGTATTAGCTGACTTGCGGTTTCGCGGTTTCTTGAGCTTTGAGAAGGGCGAGACATGTCAATCAATCTTTATTTTGTTGCGTGGGAAAATAGCCTGAAGCAAAAAAGAATCGGTTGTGTGTGAAGCTTTATTTCACTTGAAGTAGTTAAAATTTACTTGTCTTGAAATATGTCTTAACTTCTTTAGGCGCTAGTTTAAAGACTACCAATGTTAGCGCGTCTTTGCTTAGGGTTTTCTAGTCAGTCGAGTGCTTAACGTAGGCAGTTTTTTGTGCCGATAACAGTTTAAGGGCCTCTTCATATGAACCCGGTTGACCGGGCTGGCGCGGTTTCCGAGATCTCGCCTCACCTCTAAATCCTTTGTAAAATTTTCGATGTGTTCATATGAGAGGGCGGACTGGCTCGGTTCCCGAGATCTCGGTTTTTCCAACCGAGATCTCGGTAAGCGGGCTGGAAATTTTGCCATATGAACACTTCATCCCCGTTACCGGGATGAACGGCGGAATGAATTCTGGCGGCCCGGATGGCATCGTCTTGCATTACCTGCTGTATTTTCTACATCATAAGCATCCCATTTAACTGCAGTGATACAGCTTTAAGAGTTACCGATACTAAGATAGGCCCAAAAGTTAAAATTTTTCTGTTTCGCTATGTTTGCTTTGTTTCCTAAATTTGGCGCCAGAACTCGTACCCAGGATCTTTGACCTTTTCTCATCTCGGAAACCGGGCTGAAATTTCTCATATGAACCCAAAGCAAAATTCATCCCGGTAACCGAGCCAGCCCGGTCAACCGGGCTCATATGAAGAGGCCCTAAGAGTGATTTTCTGTAACTCGAACTTCGGCCTGACACGGTATCTCATCGATTTGGCTGCTTTTCGGCATGTAGTCTTAGAATGGTATCCTAAATACTGAATGCATATTCTAAGGTGCGAATTCTCTTTGGTTTCAAAGATACAGGAATGACAGTTTTGACGAGGTCTCAAGGGGCCGGCATGTTGTTAAACTGAACGAGATTTACTGTAATTAATTCTAGCCTTATCATTAAAATAACTTAATCGTGACTCATACAGTGGCAATGACCTATCCTTTCTCCTTTCACTTACCTACTCTTATCTGAAAATGGTTAAGCCTGAGCTACGAACGTTTATAACTCACTTTCTCGGTACTTGAAAGGTACACAAATTTGGTAGAAATTGCAAGGTCAATATCACCCATGCCACATCGATTTAGACTAAGCCATTTTAACTAAACATAGTTTGTTTATAGATAAGTTAGATTGTTGAATAAAATAATTGGGCAAATGCAACAGAGCAGAAATATAATTGCATGAAGGCGCAATGGCTCAGCCACTTGGCCGCTAAAACTTCCAAACAAAATTCGGTGAATATTTGAAAAGAAAATTCTTTAAAAATTGATCGTGCCTCTTAAAGCTTATCTGTCGCTAAAAAAAACCCTCCCTTGTAATGTGAAAAGGTCATCTTTTGATTCTGATCTTGCGAAGAGCTTGAAATATGCGCTAAAATGAAAATTATAAATTTTGTTACACACGGTAACTAGCTCAAGTTCGCTCTTCGATTTGCCAGACCAATAGGGAGCCGCTCGTGTACTGCACAGTTACAATTTTCTCTGTAGTATTTCGCTGTATACAGCTACAAATTGCATATTTTCTTAGGCAAAGATAACGCAAACGTTGTCAATTTTTATGAAAAGGCTAGAAAAACAAACCGAGCACTGCAGCATTATGCAAATTATATGGTATTCGATAATTACACGTGTAAACAGGAACCTACCTTTGCTTATGTACATTTGGCAGATCTTTCCAGCGTAAGATATAAAACTAGTACATGAAATGAAATTAAAGAACTCATCAAGTCAAGTTACCTGATCATACCGTCATTACTGAATAATAAGTCCGAAAAATATGACATGGAATGATCGGTGGGAGACGAAGCTATTTTTAGGAAGAAAAGGAACTGCACGCTGGAACGGAACTGAAATGAACCACCTTAATCAAGTTCAGTCTGAATGCGTGTACCTTAGTGCCAACCGTTTTTCGATGGCATGGGAAAAAGGAATTCAAGTGCCATATCCATTTTTCGTTTTCGCATGGCATTGAAAAACAGATTTGAATTTTGCTCTTTGTTTTTCGTTTTCGCCTAACTTTGAAAATCGGTTTTGAACTTCGTATTTCGTTTTTCGTTTTCACAGCACTTTGAAAAACGGACATCAATTTCAGTTTTCGTTTTTCGTTTTCGCATCACTTTGAAAAACGGATATCAATCTCGTTTTTCGTTTTTCGTTTTCGTATTACTTTGAAAAACGGATTGGAATTTCGTTTCTCGTTTTGTCATCACTATGAAAAACAGATCTGAATTTCGTTTGTCATTTTGGCATGACTTGAAAAAGGGATCACTGCACCAGTTCAGTCATTTGAAGCCCCGGCCACACCCTCGGGGTTGACCGGGGCATTCACTTTTTATGTAACTGAGAGTAAGTGAATTTTCCCCTCTCCGGGGCCAAAGTGAGTGGTAAATTCCGCCCCCCACCCAATGATATGTCTTACACACACACGGTATTCCCTTTTTCAACAATGGATGACAAATGATATGATGATAGCCGCGAAAAAACACGCAGCCGCAACACTTGCATATCCTCGATGGAGAAGGAAAATGACGAACATTTGAACACTTTACAACTTGAAGTCACAAAATGCGAGATAACAAAAAATTACAAATCAAGTTTCACAGTCTTCTGGAGTTTTTTGTAGAATGACTCAGTCATTGCAAAGTGTCTTTCTTGTCGTCATTTCCAGGATACAACAAATTACTACATCATAAGGTATTAAACAATTGGGCCACTTGAACGGGGAAAAATAAGACGCGTCTAGTTAACTTCTCCTATAAGTGGCCCAAAAAATGTGTTCAAGACTTGAATAAAACGGGACTCAGCTAGGACAGTCCTTATATGCTCGTATAAATGGTACAGTTTGTGTCTTATTTAAGACTTGTCTTACGTAAGCCGCGTCAAAAGACACTTTACAAAGCATACATGTATTTCTTCAGCCGCGAGAAGCGATAAAAATGTATGCAAAATAACTACGCGTCGCGAAAATGGAAACGCTTACCACAGAGTGACTGCCCTGCTTATTCCCCGGTCAGGGAGGCAAAGACCGGGATTTATAGCGTATCCCCTGCCTACCGGGGAATAAAAATGGGGTGATTATGAGTTGAAAGGCCCCTCATTACCCCGGTCATCCCCTTAGGGGGAGGGGGGCTGGAGTTTCAAATGACTGGTGTATTAATCAACTTTTCAAATTCATGCAAAAAACTCCAATCTGTTTTTCAGTGAGAGTGAGTGGATGATAACAAGCAATGCAAATACGAAAAACGAAATTGAAATCCGTTTTCCAAAGTGATGCGAAAACGAAACACGAAAAACGAAATTCAAATCCGTTTTTCAAAGTGATGAGAAAACGAAAAAAACCGAAATTCAAATCCCCTTTTCAAAGTGCGGCGAAAACGAAAAACGAAAAACAAAATTCAAATCCGTTTTTCAATGTCACAAGTCGACAAAAAGCGAAAAATAGAAATGGAGATGGAATTCCGTTTTACAAGGCCGAAGAAAAACGAAAAATAAAAAAGAAATTTAAATTCCATTTTTTTGTACCATCGAAAAACGGTTGGCACTAAGGTACACGCATTGTAATCGACCGTCACTTAGTTTCTTGCTTGCTTATCATGTCTGATAAGGAAGGCGTGGAGGATCCCAAAGTTATCTCTGTTGGGTCTTTTGAAGACTTAAGGTCTTACTTTGATCAAACATTTTCACATTTAAAGCGTGAGCTTTCTGATGATCAACTCAAATCGTCTTCATCCTTGGTGAAGAAACTTAAGACCGAAACGAACTTAAGCTTCAAGTTTAGCGGCAACAAGAAGCAGTTCGAGTTTAATACTGAGACTTTGGAACACGTCACTCGGAGTCTTTCTTTTGTCGATTCGCTGAAATCTCTGGTCGATCTTGAAAACTCTGAGAATCATCAAGTTTCAGCGCTGATTCTTAAGCTCGACGACTCTGTCAACGTTGCTTCGAAGGCCATAAAACGAAGAAAGAAGCTCACCACAATAGCGGATAAATCGGAAGCGGGCTGGGCCGCAGTTGATGAGTATCTTTCTGACGAAGTCGCTTCCGGTTCTGAAGACCAAAACAAGACCCGCGCTGCCGAGCAGAGAGCGTTGCGAAAGAAGAAGAACGCTCGCAGTGCGAAGTTGGGACAGAAGTTGAGTATTTTATCTGTTATTTTTATTCGTTTCCTTTGCCCGTTCTTTATTTTCTTTAGCGTTTAGGAGGTCGTATTATACCACTGCCGACCTATTCCTCCTATACAATAAACTCGTTATTGTGTACTATTTGCATGTGTGTGGTTCATTATTACAGAGTTTAGAGCATAAATAAGTTATTTTCGTTACGCAGTTTAGAAAATAAATGTTTTTATGCTCGGTGCGTTGGGAATTATGCGTGCGAATGGAGGTTACGTAAAGCGTACCGCATTCAGGCGTGTTCATCACGCTTATTGTTGGGTTGTGTTTAAATACGTTCACCACGTGTTGTGCTCTTACTTTAGGTCATTTCAGTGGGTGTAATCGACCGTCACTTAGTTTCCTCTTTCTTCCTTTTTTCTTTACAGGTCATTCAGCGTCCAGAGACTTCCTCGGGGTTTTCATCGGCTGGCTCCTCTATCACTCCAAGAAATTTTACTAATTTTCGTCCTCAAACGTCAAAGGGCGCCTTTGTTAAAGGCCGTTATGACATCTGCTTTGCCTGCGGCAAGACCGGCCATTGGAGAGCAAGTTGCCCCAACTTATTCTTCACTCCCGGATCAACCTACAAACAGATCCAACACTTGTCAAGTAAAGACAGCGGTTCTTCTGGGCAGCAGTAGCTCCATTGCTGATAGTAAACCAGTTAAAGAAACTCTTGAAGGTATTTTTGACGAAGGTCCAGCTTTAGAGGAGTGTTTTGAATTTGAGAATTCTCCCAATAGTATTCAATCGGTTAAGGGTAGGCTTAAAGCTCATTTTAGTTTTTGGGCGGATGTGTTAGGTGCAAATGATTTCATTCTCCGGGTTATTGACAAGGGGTATGCCATACCCTTTATTACATTTCCTTAGAATGCGTTTTTCGACAATAACCATTCAGCACTTACGCACGCTGATTTTGTTTTGAAGGCTATTCAAGAGCTTGTTTTGTCAGGTTCAGTTGTTCAAGTATCTAGTCCTCCTCATGTTGTCAATCCCTTGTCTGTTTCCGCACAGAGCTGCGGCAAGAAGAGGTTGATTTTAGATCTCAGGCATGTCAATAAACATATTTGGAAAGAAAAGTTTAAGTTTGAGGATATTAGAAACGCTTGTGTTTATCTTCCTTCCGATCATATGTTTAAATTTGATCTCAAATCTGGCTACCACCATATTGATATTTTGCAGGAACATCAAACTTTTTTAGGGTTTTCTTGGGTTGTTAATGGCGTAAGGAAGGTTTTTGTGTTTACAGTTCTCCCTTTTGGGCTGTCCTCAGCTCCTTATATTTTCACTAAGGTTGTTCGTGTTCTCGTCAGATATTGGAGAAGTCATGCTGTGAGAATAACAGTTTACCTTGACGACGGGATTGGTTCCGCCCGTGATTTCGCTCGCTGCGAAGATGCTTCATTATTTGTTAAGACTTCGCTTCAGCTTTCTGGTTTCCTGCCTAATGACAGTAAATCGATTTGGCAACCAACTTCTTGTTTAGTCTGGTTGGGTTATTGTATTGATTTAGCCGTTCATACTATTTCCATTCCTTCAGTTAGGATTCTCAGTGTCGTACAGGTTATTGATTCAATTGGTTCCCAGTATCCCTCTAGTACTGCTAGAAAATTGGCTCAGTTTGTCGGTAAGGTTATCTCTATGGGTTTTGTCTTTGGTAACATTACTCGTATTATGACAAGGTATTCTCATTTTGATATTTTAAGAGGCCCTACATGGGACGAAAGAATTTCCCTGTCGGGTTCAACTCTGAATGAATTATGTTTTTGGAAAGAGAACATTCCTTCCCTAAACAGTAGGCGCCTCTTGTCTACACAGTTCCATTATTCCCGTGTGTGTTATTCCGATGCGAGTTCTACAGGCTGCGCCAGTTATATGTTAGATCTTCACAACACCATTTCTCACAAGTTATGGAGTGTTGATGAGGCGCAGAAGAGCTCCTCTTACAGGGAACTTAAGGCCTTTTCCCTGGTTCTAGAATCTTTTTTGCCTTTACTTAAGGGGCACACTATTAAGTGGTATACTGACAATCAGAGTGTTGCTAGAATCGTTGAAGTAGGAAGCATGAAGGAAGATTTGCAATGCTTAGCTTTGCGTATTTTTAGTATGTGCTTGCTCAGTTGCATTGCATTGGAAGTTGAATGGATTCCGAGATCGGCCAATGATAGAGCTGATTTTTTGAGCAGAATTGTGGATTATGATGATTGGCGGGTCAACAGGGACTATTTCCTTTTGGCCGAAGAGAAATGGGGTCCTCACTCTGTGGACCGGTTTGCGAATCATGAGAATACTCAGTTGCCCCGTTTTAATAGCAAGTTTTGGTGCCTTGGTACAGAGGCGGTTGATGCCTTCCACCCCATTTTGGCCTTTAGTTTTTACTGACGAGGGTTTGTCTCCCATATTCTCTAATATTTTCGAGATCCCCTTAGGTACTGATGTTTTTGTTTTGGGTAAAAACAAAAAATTTTCGTTCAGGGGTTTTGTTCTTGCGGTTTTCCTAGAGAGGTCTTAGTTAACCCCCCCTTTTTCAGACTTGTAGGGGGTTTTTCTGCAGTTTATAGAGTTCTTACGCTGATACCACATGGTATTCGAGTATTGTGGGATGCACTTGGATCCTTGTTTTTGTGGACCAATTGGTCTTTTTTATTACGCAAGGGCCACTTTGGCCCTTAGTGGTAATATTTTTCTGTGTTTTTCTTGGGACCACTTGGACCCAACCTTACCTTGTTTCACTACGTGTTGTATTTTTCTGATATATTTTTTCTTTGGTCTTTTTTGTCATTTTATTTTTTCTATTTTTTGCTTCAGATGTTAAAGCAGCTGCCAGTCGGACGTTTGGCGTTTTACTTTGTGAGAAGTTTTGGCTCTCTGCCTTTAATTCTCGAGCTGATAATACAGTTATTAATTATTGTAAATCATTTTGTAAGTTTAAAGCGTGGTGCTTGCAGAGCACTGAGAAGGTTTCTTTTCTCCCAGCTACTTCTTTCACAGTTTCCATGTATTTGCATCATTTATTAGAAAATTCGTTTGGTAGTTCCACCATTTACGGCGTTTTTTACGCTATTAACTGGGTACATAAGTTATCAGGTTTTGAGAATCCCAATCCGTGTGACAACTTTCTCGTCAGGTCTATTGTTGAGGCTTCCAGTCGTGCTCCTCGTAAACCTCTCTGGAAGGCAGAGCCCATTACCCCAGAGATCCTTGGCTTAATTTTGCGGCATTATGGGGAAAGTAGTAACTTACTTGATATCAGGTTTGTCTGTATGTGTTTACTCGCATACGCTGGCTTTTTCCACATTTCCGAGCTTTTAAGCATTAGGAGATCTAATATTGTAACTGAAGATCTCTATCATAAGATTTTCTTAGAAGTTAGCAAGACTGATAGGTACAGAGAGGGTTCCTGGGTTTATATTGCCAAGACTGGCAATTTTACTTGCCCTTATACATACCTTATTAAGTACTTAGAAGCTGCCAGGATTCCTTCTTTTTCTCAGAATTTCATTTTCAGATCCTTACGGTACGGCAAGAATTTGAAGGGCAATGTCTTGTCTTCAAAGCCCCTCACTGCTAGCAGGGCGGGAGAAATTCTTAAGGAGAAGCTGAAAGCTATTGGATTAGACCCTTCTAAGTTTAGTAGTCACAGCTTTAGGTCCGGAGGAGCTACTTCTGCTGCCAATCTGAATGTTCCAGATCGGCTTTTCAAAGTTCACGGAAGGTGGAAGTCAGGTTCAGCTAAAGACGGCTACGTCCACGATAAAGTCGACTCGCGTCTTTATGTTCCTTTGCACATTGGAATTTAATTTATTCAATTTTTGTACGAGCGGGTTTAGATTCACTTTGTATTTTTCCTATCATTTATACTTCTGTATCATGTAAGTTGTGTTTGTTAGGAGGTCGTATTATACCACTGCCGACCTATTCCTCCTATACAATAAATTCATTATTGTGTATTTGCTTGTGTGTGTTTCATTATTACAGAGTTTAGAGCATAAATAAGTTATTTTCGGTACGCAGTTTAGAAAATAAATTCCTTTTTCCCATGCCATCGAAAAACGGTTGGCACTAAGGTACACGCATTGCCCAGTATTTTTTCGTAACTTTTAATTTTCTAGCAAACTGGAACTGTTAAGAACTACCGCCCCCCATCCCCCTCTTTGAGCGAACTTTCATTCGGTCTGATTCACAATAATTTTCGAACGACGACAAAGTGAAATTTGAAATGACATTTTATTTTTTAGTATTTTTAAATGCTCCTTCTTTTTTGCTTTCCGATAACCAAGAATGTCTTGAACGTAAAGGCTCAAGTGTCGGTGTTTTTCACGACTCTGCTTGTGGACTGACCTCACCACCAGTATTACATCACGGACATAAAATCTGATCCGAGAGGGTCAAGAAGTAACTGATGGGTCTCTGAAAAGCAAAATGCAGTCACTTTGGGGCGAGCAGGCTATATAGATGATGAACCCATTGCTTATAACTCCATGACCGTATTCCAAAAGTCGAGCCAGCCCCGGGCGAGCGAATACAATTTTGAGGCCACTGGGCACGCCCTTATGTTTGGCGGGAAATTGGATGATTAATCAAATCTCCTGAACTCCACGACCATGCACCTTTCCAAATATTGCCCTTCTAATCATCATATAGTTAGGGCCTCCCGTAAGCATTTGCAACTATTTTGATTCGTAGAAGACTGTTTAACAGTTTTCATTATTTTCATTATTTTGATGTCTCGTAAACAACACGAGGTACTTTTCAGACCAGCACCGAAGGTATGTAGAAAAATATGACCATCTCTAGGTAAGGTTCATCACTGTAACTTACCACATAAAAGCCTTTTCGTTGTTTGCCATCGACTGATTTTGTTCTGAATACTGAGGTCCCATAAACAACGCCACGTTTAGAAAGAGCCCGCCCTTTAACCCAAGTAGAAATTTCGCTAACGGAAGTAAGCCGTAAGAAAAGGACAGCGTCAAATAGCTCATAAAATCACAAACGCCTTATGACACATATGGCTATATGTCGGGTCTTGTTCTGTTTTCCCCTTACGCTGTTGTTTCGCCAGCTCTCCACAATTTTCTTTATCGACAGTGAAACAAACGAAACTATTCCACTCCATTTCTGAAATGTTTTTCACTTTTTTAACGAGAAAAAAACTCTTTGAGAAAAACTTTTCTCCTCGAATGTGTGCGAAGCGGCGCTCAGCAAGCTGCAAGAAAAGGCGGGAATTTTGGCGCGAAACTCACACACCTCTGTGGCTTCTGATTGGACGTATCATTAATTCTCACATGTGAAAAAACATCGTTCGCGATTCTGATTGGACGTATCACTTTTTTTCACGTGTGAAAACCATAGTTCACTCCTCTGATTGGCTAGAACTCATTTGCGTATCAAAATTTACAACACAACTTTTTAGTGAGTATTTCTCAGTATGTATATAATAAATGAAAATTCGTGATGAACGTGGCGCATCGCGCATCATTTCAATGGTCGCCGAAAAGACTCATTTGCATACAATGAAAGACCAGTTAGCCTCACCATCGAAGTTTTGCTAATTAACATTCTTCTGGTTTTTTTTTTGTTGTTGTTGTTTTTTTTTTCGACCACTGAAGTGTTCATCTGTTCCAAAGTAATCCCGTTCCGCAAAAGCTCTAAATCGCATTAATCTTTCTTAAGCTTTCTTCATAAAACATGCTAGGAACCCCATTAGTGTACTAAATACGAAGAAAAAAGCGGCTTGCAGATTATGAGTCTTGCTGCTTATGCAAGCGAGAATAATAGTTTTTTTTTTTACAGATTTGAGAAGACCTTTAGTTATCCCTTGTTTATTCAAAATAACAATCCTAAGTTTCACTTTTTTGCGAGGAAAGCAGTTATTGTAAATGGTAGTGTGTTTATCAAGGAAACACCGATAAGCGTAATCAGGGTCGTTTTATTCAGATAGCTCATCCCAAGTAACTTTTGCAAGCCTGTCTTTAAACTTAGCGACAATATTTGCACTTTTGTCACGAAAAGAAAGCCAAGAAGTTTTGCTATAAGTTCTTACTTTGATCAAGAGGCAATGTGAAAATAGTAAGATAGTAAGATATATCACAAAACATTAGCCCGCTAACAGAGAAGTTGTTTAAATTATTTTTAAAAGTATTATCAATGAGCGTAGTCACGTTAGAAGTTAGTCTTGTCGGACGTGTAATCAGTGGATAAACATTCTTGAATACATCGGTAATTTCTAAAAATTCTCCTGTTGTTTCAAGACAATGGCCGTTCATATGGGTGTGTTCGTTTGGGATGATCCGGATCAGGATCAGTGAGCCGAGATCACTCGGATCATGGTAGATCAAATGAACCGATGAATCCTTGTCCAGAGTGGACTATATTATATTTTTCTATTTCGGCCTCAGCACTCAGCACATTCAGTGCAAGAAAAAACTATGTCTGGTCGACATTTAAAATCAAAATTGTCCGCTTAATATAGACCTACACCTCCACCTGTCCTATCTTTACGTGGATTGTGGACAAAATTATAACATGAAATATCAGTAAGATCCGATGAATCTCGAAGCCAGGTCTCAGTTACTTGCACCAATAAAAGTGAATCTCAACTCTAGACTCTTTGGCAAAGTATTTTTTTTTCATATTGAAGTTTACTGATAAGTACAATGCAAATATACAATAATAACAAACAAAGAATGACATTAAAATACAAAAATAAAAAAACAGACAAGATACATCTGGTGTACAGGATGTTGCAATTATTAATGAATTACAGAAAAAAAAATTGAAAATGAATAGTTACATAGATAGATTAAAAAATAACCAAATAACAGAAATAACTAAACAAGTCAAGCATGTTTGCTGCTAAAGGCTCAAGGATTCACGGACACTTGAAGACTCTAGCTATAGATAATTTGTATTTCAGAATAACTATATGGTTCGCTTTCTTTGGCTGCGGTGTAGATATAAAAACGAGCGAATATCAGGCAAAGATTAAGATCCGTAAATCTTAACGTTGTTGGTCAAGGACACTGAGGGCGAGTTATTATCGTTCCACCAAGAGGTAAAATGGCCCCAGAAGGAGAGGACATGCTGGCAATCTACAAACAGATGCTGTACTGTCTGCTTCAATTCACACACATGACAGGAGTCACTGTCAGTAAATTTGGCCTTGAATAGTTTGTCGCGAGTCTACAGGATATGATGGTTTATTTTAAACTGAAACATAGAAAGCTTTATGTTTTTTGTGAGCTTGAATGGAAGAACGTATAACGCCGCAATTGTCTGATCTGTGAAGCCAGCCTCAACAAGAAGAACTTCTGATGTAGGTTGTTGGAAAGATTTAGATACATAACACACGCGTGCTTGCTGGCAAGTGGGAGGAGAGTTCTTAAATGGCTCAATTGACTAATCCCAAACTACCAATGCTTTGGTATTGCGTTACACAAGTTTGGCAAAGTAGTTAATAAGCTATCCAATTACGATGAAGGCTTCGAATATTAAAATGTATACGCGATAAACAATTGTTGTTCTAGCGCAACATTTCTTAAAACCATTTGGCTTTGTTTCTGAGATTGTTTTTGCCTTTCACACTTTGAGTACGATTTCAAGCCTACTGACTGTGAAAGAAGTCAAAATATTTTAAAAGCCGTCTCTTTCAGAAAGACCTAGGCGATATATAGCACTTATTTAGCGTCAACAGCGATACGTTTGGAAAGTATGTAAGGGGTTTTTGTAAGTCTTCACCTGACATGCCATACCAAGAGAGGATAAAGGGGACAGAGAAGGCATCCCCCATACACACCCTATTCCATAGGTAATTCATCTCGAGTTATTTAAAAGACCACAGATCCCAAGGGGGATTAGACAACAACCAATCACATAGCGCGAATGTGTTCCGCGTGGATGACCCATGGTCAGAGTCACGCGTCCTTCACGAATTGAAGCAGAACAAAATGGCGAAAGACGCGGAGAGCGATATTGCTATTCGTTTTGTCGACGAAAACGACTACAGAGATATTTCTGCTAAAGCTGTGTCAGCGAAACGGAAATTAAAAAAGAATCGCCCTTCCTGGCTTGTTTCTAGCTGAGAGTTCTAGCGAAGAAGACGAAAAAGTCAGTGCAAGCGAGGAGGAAGCTGTAACCGAAACGGAGAGTGCCAATGAAATACAAGAAAACGTAGAAAGCTCCTATTCCGATGATAGTTCAACAGATGAAGCGAAGAGGAGGAAAACCGCAGGGAATCCTAAACCTGCGCCTTCGAGTTTGACCGTCACCAAATCAAGCAAAAAGGCGCTGAAGAAATCAAATAAACGGAAGAAGAGTCTTTCGGAGAGATGGACCGATTCCCTTTTCCCAGGTGAGCGCCGACTCATTTCGCCTCAATATTCAGGAATTCTCTCGATCTCTTTACGCTCTCATTGCCTTTCGCCCGACACGTTTTGCTTGGCGTTTAGTCATGCGAAACCTCCACGAAACATCCACGCAGCGCGCGAGGTAACTTTATCCCGATTCTAAAAATAACTCAAGACGAATTACCTATGGGATAGGGTGTGTATGGGGGATGCCTTCTCTGTCCCCTTTATCCTCTCTTGGCCATACTCATCATTGGACCTGAAATGCCTTGTTTGAAGCAGTGAAATTTAGTTCAGTAGCTCAGCAACCACGCTCTAAATGAAACCAATGCATTGCAGCTACCACTAAAACGGCCAAGCTATAGACCTTGACGCTGAAATGTGTTAATTGTCCAGAAAAAAAAAAACAATTTACTGTAGCTTCACAGAAATGGGCCATTTATGGCTTTTTGCGAAACCTAGAAGCAGGATTTAAGGCACTCTAGGAACTACACTTGAACTACAGTTTGAGGACCATCCCTGGAATGGACACATTTGACGTACCCATCAGCGTCGGTGTCATCCTCATTATTTTCATAAATGGGTGTTATATTGCTGTATAAAGCTTTTTCTTGGCCAGGAATAGGAATCATGAAGGGGAAATCAGACTTGTTTTCTGACAAACTGCCATCTGAAGGTCGCCCTACTCTAGGAACAAGAGCTGGTGGATCATCTCTACCTGAGCCAAAAACAGGTGGCCCTGTATTGACTTGCACTGGACTGTCTTCGGACAGACTTCGGAATGGCCTTCTTGTGCTTGGAATAGGGGGTGGCTCGGTAATGTCAGTTAAACTTCTCAGTCGAGAAGTTATCACGTCAAACGGCCTTCTCGTAGTTGGTACAGGTGGTGCTGACGAGGCACTCTGGGTGCTTATCTTTCGTTGTTCGCGAGGATGATGTAATGGTTGCTGGGGAGCGGGCATATCGACAGCATTCTGACGTTGCAACTGACTCGTGGAGGTCGGCCCTTCTTGTGGTGGTTCTATATCCTCGTAAACTCGAAAAGCAGGGTTAGAAGCGGACAAAGGTAGGACATCAGGGACATTAGAAATTCCTGGACTGGATACAATCGGTTGCATGGATGCACTGTCGCCTTTCTTCACAGGTGGCTCTGCAGAGTGCCGACGGCGTCTTGTTACCTATTCAGTTGAGAATAAAAGCAATAAGTTGAAAAAAGTGTATTTATCTGTTCTCTGAAGGTACGACCGTCTATCCTGAAATTTTACGTACATTCAGCAACAGTCTCCCAGAAACTCAGCTTTTTAAAATAATTTTCCAGGAAAGAACTAATTACAAACAGTCTATAAAAACCCGCAGTATAATGTCGACGGTACGGTTGTCCCTTTTCCCCACCAAAATGACGCTGGTTCACGCACGCGCACACTAATAGAGTGTTGAATTCCTCGAAGTCGTTCTCGTGTTAGAATTTAAAGGTCTCTATAATCAGTTCTGTTTTTAACAATTTGATGGAATCAAAAACTTGGCTTACCAAAATAAGTAAGATGATCACCAGTGCTGTAACAGAAATGGCACATCCTGAGGCAATTCCAACAGTAGCAGCCGCTGACAATCCACTCTTGTTCTTCGTAGGGGTCACTAACGTTCTCTTGATGCATTTTGCGTCATCAGCTAAAAGCGTAAGTGAGCCAATGTATCACTAAGGCTAGCTACTTATTAAGTTGAATGAAACGGACGTCTACTTTAAACTTCTCACATGCCACGCTTTTTATTGGGTTCACTGAAGTGATATTTTGAACTATATTTACACTATACACTAAAGAAGCCCTAAGGGCGAAACTAATGTACTCAATAACAAACAGCGAGGCGAGAAGTTTGAAGTAGAACTCTTTTTCATTCAACTTACTAACGCTAAGTTACTATCTGTCGGGATTTACAAAAAGGTACCTCCAGGATTTTTAAGCAACAGTCTCATTTCAGGCTTGTTCAGTACTTGACCATTTTTTTCTTATGATGTTTTCAGAACAAAAAACCCCTAACAAGCGGCAGTAGGCAAAAAAACATTTTTTATTATGCTGTTTATATCTTTCCCCACCCTTTCACCCCCTCTCCCCTGCCTATCATTTCCCATAATTCTCTCCGTGTCATAAAACACTATTACATTTGAAATCAGCGCGGGCTGTAGAAGTTGCTTTCCGTGGTCGGTTAATATTCTAAGTTTCTTTTTGGTCGCCTGGAACAAAGTTTTCCGGAAGGCATCATTAGGCGTTATTATGAAGGAACAAGTCTCACGATTGGCAAAGTCTGCCGTCGTCCAATATGTTACCGTATTTCGTCTCATTTTGGCTAAAATGACTGACTGTGTCAGGAAAGTTTACATGTGATGATTTAAATGGAGAACGCGAGAGTTATTGAGCGAGAGTAATTTGATCATATTTCGCCCGTATTAAGTGTGGGAACATTGTGCCTGGTTAGTTGTGGATAGTTTTATCTGTGCCGCGAACGTGGTTATTTTTGTGATTTCCTGAAGTTGTTGACAGACAGAATTCAGGTATGTTGTAGTGTTCGCGTTATAAGAATATTGTGTACAAGCATAAAAACGCTTCGTGAGTGTTTAGTTGAAGTAATTTGTCTTAGACAACTGATTCTGAGCTCAAGAAAAGTTGATTCTAGGTCTGTTTTAGTCTCGCTATCAGCCTCACACAGAGTTTGAGAAACTGAAAGGTCATAATTTCTGTGCCTTAAAATGTTGTTCATTTCATTACAAATCTGTCGCTTTTGCCAAGAGCGACTTTCCGTGTGTTGCCAGCGATTAATTTATCCTTTTCAAGCCCTACCTGGAGACTTGCAACTTCTTTTTATTCACCTCAAGGGTCAAATTTCCAAAACGCACTTGAAATTTCTACAGGTACCTTTTTATAAATCCAGACAGATATATAAATGCACTTTTTGCACGTTTTTATTTTAATGAGTATTTCCTATAGGGAACATAAAGAGTTTTGTGAATCTTCAAAACAATTTCAAGAAAAGTGTCTACTAGGCTTTCGACTTTGCGATATGCTTCGGCGATTCAAAAAGGACAAGAATTGAGTCCCTGACATGTAATATGACATAGTAACGAAAAAATGCCAATCAATGCATCGCTAAATTTGGTCAATGTTTGCAGTTTTAGATTTATGCAATATCTTATAGTAAAGACGTAATTACTTAACGATATGAAACATTAAATGAAAGAAAGGTCTGTCCGAAAGTGCTCTTACGTTCATAAGTTGCAGACTCTGTTCCTCTGAAACAGCGTTCGGAGCTTGCGCAGTAGGGTTTTTTCAGTTTTCTGCCGTTCTTGTCGTTCCGGCACCAGTAACAACTAACTATCCCATCACACCAATGGGAACTGTTTCTTCTCTCACAATGGGGATCAAAGCATTTGTTAAGACAAATCGTTTTGGGATTTAAAGGATTATTGTTAGGTTGTCCTGAAGGTGCAAATGTTGGGCACAAAGGAAGGCTATACAAAACAAAGTAGAGGAAAGAAATCAGTCAATTAGTTTCTTACAAAAGGTGATGATTCAACTGCATTTACGACAAGTTATATCTACCTGCTAAGCATGAGACATTCTAGCCTTATACCGAAACTTTATGGATACGGCTACAGAACCTATATGACCGGAGTATGATGTACTCAAGCCTTGACATCCAAAACTCTACATATATACCACATAATAAATCTACCCCTGGATGAGGTATTCTAGCCTTGATTCCAACTAAATCATTAACTGTTCCTGGGTGATTAACCTTAAATCTTGTGAGTTCACTGCAATTTGACAGCCTCTTCTGTTCCTTCCTAAGTGAAATTCTTATTGTCTATTGCAGCCAATTAAGGGCAATTTGCCTACTTTCGTAAAAAATTGCTCCTTTTGACGACTACAGAAAATACCATAACATACCATATTGCTCTTTGTTTGTCACCCGACATTGTGCATAAGCATTGTCTTCAGTTTTTGTTGGGAATTTTAAAGGCCCCAAGAGAAACTGAAGCCAATGCTTATGTAAAATTTTGGGTTTATAAACAAAGAGCAATATGGTATGTTATGGTATTTTCTGTGGTAGTTAATTAGCCATTTATAAGAGCAGATAATATAAGAGACTATGTTGCCATGTTGCTATATCGCTGTTTTAGGTCAAATCTGTGCTGAAATTATTACTTAATGCCTTTAGCCATAAATGAAATGCTTCTGTAGAGTATTGAAGAAGATATCAAACTGAAATTTCATCAGGGAGCACTTGGTCATCAGGGGCATTTGGTCTTCAAAAGGTTGGCCCAACTTTTTCAAGTTTCAATCTCTGTCCATCCTTGCAATCCGTAGCAACTGACCACAGGGAACAGTTTTAATGCCTAAATATCGTCTTAAAATAACAAAACTGACCATTATTTTTAGAGTTCAATTGATGAGAAGACACTTTTTAACTTTTCAAAACGATAGCAAATAGTGTGACATATCCCCTATGACGTGAAGACTTTTGACTGTTAATGTTGGTAGTGATGTATATATTTTACCAGTAGGCTATTGGTTCGATGAAGGTTTCATATTGTAAAGATCTGTTGGTTCCTTTTACAAATAGCAAAAAATCACTTTGTATTTAAATGATAATGTTCATAATAATAATATGCGACCCCTAAAGCAAAAAAAAATTGACCAACATTTTACGTTTTTTGTCTGAATCTGACCAAAGAAGACCTTTCAGGAAACATCCGGTTTTCAGTTCACGCCCTTACTAGGTTTTAGTTGGTGAATTTCGGTCTAATTCGATTGTTTCACTTCGTCGTAATTTTGATTGATTAAAGCAAAGATTACAACCGCTGGTTAATTTTTTGACTCCAAGTCTCATGTTATTGAAAATTACTTTTAAAGCTGTATTTTGGCCAATCGGTGTTCATCCTCACTAAATATAAAAGGACTTTGGATTATGTTGACTAACCTGCTGTTTGGAAACTGACTTCGACAATAAAAAAATTCCAGAGTGGAGGTACAGGGACATTCACAATTCAAACCAGTTAATCTGGAGCATTCGTTATCTGAAGAGCACGAGCAGGACGATGAAACACAGAGGGAATCTCGCGCGACAACACCTGTGGAGAGAAAAAAGCCAGGTTGACCTTACTTAATTACATATAAAGGGAGCTATAGTTGGTTATTTAAAAACCCTAAAGGCACCTTCGAATCAAGGAAAATTCTGAAATAATGGTTCAACGGTTGAATCACTCAGCCACTCATACTTCAACTAAATAAATGCATATCTTCGGTCAAGATTGAAAGGGATCATTGCTGAGCTTTGACAAAAAGTGTGGATCTCAGTACCATGCATGACCAAGCCCTATCAAGGCCGGTTGAAATATCGAGCATGTTTAGATGTTAATCGATCCGTTTGAATGTGCCTGAAAGTTTTAAATCGTCAATGTCCAATCCAGTATAATTCTACTGTTCTCTAAAAGGACGTACATATAACTTGCATCCAGCACTATTTTGTTATGAGATGGACCAACAAAATGATCCAGTTTAAAGCTAGTCCGATGTAATCAACCATCTTTTGTGCGAAAAAGTGGAGCCCTAGATCAATTTTGCAATAAGTGCCTACGCTATCTAATCTTACACTGTTTTAGCAACCTTTTTTAGCTCCGAAGGTCACTTTTTCATCAATGCAAACTTATGACCAAGTGTTCTTAAACGTCTATTCCGCTGTAGCGCATCCATGCATGTTTTCTCATATAATGAGGGAAATGAACGCCATTTTGAAAACTCTGCTTGACATTTTTAAATCTTACCGTTGTACAACTGTAAAGACGTTTTTGCCTAAAATTTTTCTTTTGAATTTGCTTAAGTATCCCTAACTTTGAATTGCAGAAGTTAAAGTAATTTATGTATGAGACACTGAGGCGCTTTGATCATATCTTTGCTATATTTAAGACAAAAACTGATCGAGGTTCGCAAGAGCGCTGAATACTTAATTGACTCACGTGAGTTAAATATCACCCCTTCCTCTCCCCATTTCTTTTACAAATAGGTGCCACATTCCTATGACGAGCAATTGGCCCTAAAGTATTATATTACTAAGATCATCTCAGTATCTAACCTAAGTAGACGTTTGTTCCAGGTATTTGACTAAGCTCATATTTGCAGCCCTGGTTTGAATGTAATTGACTGAATCCATCCGGAGGCAAATGAAGTTCATAAAAACTCTGCTCTGTTATACTTTCCACATTTCGACACGTTCTCTTTATTAAGTAGCCATGGTTAATTAAATCAATTGCGATGCTCTTTTCCTTTTGGGTGATATGAACGTGCTCCACTTCGATAGCTTCAGCTGAGGGCAACATGAAATCCGGGTGCATTACCAGGAATCCAGAGTTGTCCATAATGAAACATGAGTACTGCAGTGATTGTGCGCACTTGGGATAAACCGTTGTAAGTAACCTGAAATATGTAGTTAAAACTCACTTAATGAACGAGAGGCGCAGTGGCTTTATGGCATATTCCATGGACTCCAATTGCAGATTTTGAGATGTGGATTTTGAGCCCTGCCGGGTCATTTCGTTGTTTTATCTTGGGAAACAGTTTAAATCTGACAGTGCCTCAATTTATCCATGTGTATAAATGGGTAACGCCTCTTTTCTTTATCTTCAATTCACGAGTGTTCCACTATTTTCTCCAGCACTGTTAAAACAGCTGAGCCACCGCCCCCTTTGCTGTCCCATTTTCTGTTCATATCTGTACAATTGACGTCAGTTTCCTTTATATCGGCTAAAATCTTTCAAAATTTGTCAACACCAGCTGGTTATGAAGAATCAGTCGGGGGATTTGAGCCAATCAGAAAGGAGGAATTTTTGAATGAATGTCAAAAACTTATTATTATAAGAACAAAGTTCAGCAAAAGTATATTTGTGGGATTTCACCACTGACATAAAGAGTTGTAATACATATCAAAGTTTGAAAGCCCCATGAAAACAATTTTTTGTAGCAAAGTATTCTACACTTATACCATTGGATACCTGTGAAAGTGTCTCAAAGGAAAATCAGCTCCCATTACTCCAAGAACATTATCACTCGATTCTCCATGATACAAAGAACGAGCAGCGGTAATAACTTCCCCGGCTCCTCCCATATCCAGATACGGAGTTGTAAGAGTAAGGTGGCCTGAGTTACTTACTGCAGCGTAATACCTGCACAGAAGAAAAGAATATCATTCAAACTAGAAATACGTGTTTCGCAAACCTTAACACCTTACATTCACGCAAACTGTAGAGGAGTGTTTCGGCTATTTCAATCAGCTCGCACAGACCTCGTTGTTTTAACAATGTAATCCTTTATCTTGATGAAGTAGTAAAAACGCCGTCGTCATTCGAAATTATTCTTGTTAGTCTTTTCCCATCATTCAGCGATGAGAGAACCTTCTCAGTCTGCATGGGCGCGTGAGAAAACCATGGAAACAGTTGATTGACGTCCACGAAAAACCAGCTTTCAAAAGAGAGGAAAAATCCTTCACAGTCGAGGACACGTGTTTGTGGTAACCGCTGTAATATATCAAGACCAATTTGGCAAGGCCGTTCAGAATAACATAAATGTTTTACAAAGAACACTCTGTCTAGCAAGGAGATCTTTCTTTACTGAAAGCCACACGCTTACCAAGGCCTATTTCTGGGGTCATAGCTTTTTTGCTCCACAGCACCAGGAGTTGCTCTAAAAACTCCATTGGCTGTTCCAATGTATCGCCAAACCAAGTACTGAGTAAGCTCAGTTTTATCACGTAGCCACAGCTTTTCCGCCCTCCAGGTAGCGATGACGGTGTCACGAATGTCTGGTCTTAACTTCTGATATTCACTCGAAGTAGTTCTTCCCATCATAAAATCATGAAGCTTCTTCACGTCAACTGTGGTTTCGTTCATGCCAATGTATCTGTAAGGATCCATAAATGCCAGGGGGGCAAATTTTACAACGGTTGTATCTAGGTGAACAAAATGAAGGTAACAATTTAACAAATCGACAACAGTTCTACTTCATCATTACGGCATTCGGGGATCACGTGAGATTGGGCGATCTGCCAGCTTTTCTGAGGATGCTGGCCTTTTTTTTACTCTTTCGAGCCTTCTCTTCTTGTAAGATATTTGCAAAAAGATCGAAACCTGCTTGCATTGTCGCCAGCAATGTGTCTTGTATAGTAGGCTGCGGTTAGTCAACCTTTGCTGACTGTGGCGAAATAACAACTTTGGCGTCATTATCGCTCGGGCCTTCGCTGGCCGTATCCTGTTCGTCATGCCCTCTCTTTTGCTTTCTCTCGCCTTTGGGCGTTTCAGTCAATTTGCTGGCTCTTGGCTTTGTGACTTTTTGGTGAGAATCATTCCCTTCAGGATTGGCCTTTTTTTTCCTTTTTTGCTGCCAATTTCTGGCTCTAGAGACAAGACTTCAGGATTTCCCGCCATGTCTCCTAAATCTATATGTACTATACCGTTGCTTGTGGTTCTAGTGATTTCACCGATACAGACAACGTGTGACTTAAAAAGCTCCAAAACTTTGTTCCTCTCATACGGTACAGCGTCCGTTGGTGTGGTACTCTACCAAATTTCTAACACGGGCGGGGGGGGGTCAAATGAAACCTCCGATCGCTTGGCTGAGCAAGCACAAATTGAACTGAGCTGGCAGGTCGCGCAATCATACTTAATCCTGACTCCATTGATCGGTAGGATAATTTATACATTAGGTTCGGCACATGAAAAGTTCGACGTTTGAAACGAACGCCCCACTTACACGGCAGGAAATTTTTTGTACGGCTCGGATGAAAGTGAAAAAAAAATAGTACTGATTACTCATTTACACGTCCTTTTGTCAACCGTCCTAAGCGATGTGGAATTATGATTTAGTACGGGTAAAAACCTCAACATCTCGGCCAGTGTACTCGATTGGGCCTAGTGCACATGCTGCTTCCTCTGTTAAAACATGGTGGACGAAAACTTCAATTAATTCCTTAACATCTTGGTCCGTCCATGCTATCCCACGACATTTTCTTGCAGCTTCTTCCCCCTTTCCGCCATGTTGAGTGAATCTAGGGCCTTCAATTTTTTTCTGCTCCAGCTTTTACTTTCGCGCAATAACTCGATTGGAAAGGCTTCCTACGCAGGCTACCCAAAACCCAGTTTGACGAGGGGAAATAAAGATTGACTGGCCCAGAATTTCGGGCTACCGCTGCTTCAATTAAAGGCTTCACGTGATTCAGGCAGAGCCTCGTTTTCTCCTCCTCTCTCAAGAAGACAAAAAGAGGCTCTGCTCGCAAGGTGCTCACGGATCAAACAAGCTACAAGGTATAAGGGAAATATTGATTTAAGCTTCCTATCTACAAGCTATATAACAGTACTTTAATTATACCCACCGCTAGTTACAGTCTTTCCAAAGTGCAAGCAGGGATGTTGAGGTGGATCCAAGTCTATTCGATGATACTTGAAAGAGTAACCTAAATCAATGGAGGCAAACATACGTTTATGACAATGAACCTTTTAACAGATATCTGGACTTAAGACTTGGACTTTCCTTAGGGGACAAGAACAGAATTGCGGGACGATGATGAGTTAAACTTGTTAAACTGAAACCATCCTTACCTTTGGGAATTTGTAAAGTGTTTAACACCTCGTTTACATGGATAACAGGTATAACCACACCAATGGAAAAATCCGTCTTTTCCACAGGAGACCAAAAATAAGATGAATTGAGCTGCTTTACTGCCACTCCGTCTTTGACGTCACCTCCTCGAGGTAAATACCGTGTGGCTACGAAAGTTGTTGATCCAGATTCACCCCTGTTTGTTTAAAACAGAAGAGTCACCAAAGTCAAAAAAAAAGTGTAAAGCAAACAAACAAAGATCGACACCAGCCCACCCCACCCTAATCTCCAGGCGAGGGAGGAAAACGAAGACCAGACATCCTTTAATCCGAGTGTTATGGCGCTCAGAACACAGAGCGTTTTAGCATAAGCAAGCTTCCATGATTACTGAATAGTGTCTTTTACGCAAAGAAATGTATGAAGATGTACACACGTCAGCACGTTGCTGACGTCATGGGACGACATTCACGTCTCTCTCAGCTCACCTTGCCTTGTCTTGTTTATAGTTTAAGGCCACTAACACATACAAAAAAAGAGCAAATAGCTAAAACGAAAGCACATGCATGCATACCTTGTCATAGAAGCAAACACCTCAAGGAACTGCGAATCAGATTCCAGGGTCCTAATGTCTATGAAAAAAGGGTCATCATACGCTCCAGAAGGTGTTGGCAGAAGAGGGTGAATTAAGGTCCTTCCTGTTTTAGCGATCATAAAGGCGTACGTAGTCTGGTCCTGATTAAAGAATAAGATGTCAGATAGAAGGTCCTCCAGGTTGATATCTGTCCCTGCTACGCCAATGAAGTTTCCTGTTTCATCGTAGCATGGAAGAGTGATCGACATCAGCAGACCTGATCACAAGAGAAAAACAATTCTTCAAGTTCTTAATTCTTCGATCACATATTTTTACCTGTTCCCGCCACCAAATACCTTATTATTACAGTTAATTTCACAGGTACTTAACTTCGCGTTTTTGGCGGGGTCTTATTTTCGTGTTTCCTTGAAAGGGGAAATATGAGAAAACGGCATCAAATTTCGTGATTCAAGTATTGTTGGTCGGAGGAACATAAGAAATGTCGAGTTAAAGTTTTATTTCTTTCCAAAAATCTTTTATATTTTCTTATGTTTATCACTGCATTTTGCTTTCTGTTTCTTCTTTAGCTAAGATGGCTAAAAAGCAAGAGTATCTACGATTTATCTTCATGCAACTTCCTGACGATGCACAATTAATCTTTTGTTTTTTGCTTATAAATTGTGACTGAATATTTAGTGCTAAGTATTAATTGGTCAATAAAAACAAAATGAAACCTATTGAAAGTTGTGCAGCCATCAAGTTCAAAGGGCTAGTATAACAAAGCGAGAGGCAATAATGTCCCATTTTTAAATGTGTTTATATTACGCGAGGACTATTTGCGGGTCTTTTTGCAATGACGTAAAATCGTCCTCCCAACATCCTTCAACCTCTAAGAAGCCATCTTAGAAACGTTGCTAGGGCAATTTTGTACTATTACATGTGAAACTATAAATTTTGTATAAAAGCTTGCATTTTGCGCCAAAACTAAGAAGTATCTTTCACCCTATTATATTAGCTATTTAACGTTGTGGTGGTGGGAGAGGGGCAGCGTGGAGTTAAGAGACAAACAATACCTGTTCCAAATCCATCAATGTACGGGACAGACACTACTGGTTGATCCAGCCGCGCTCGAGGAAGAAAATTATAGTATGATACCATCTTAGTTCGCAGCGAGTTAATATCTTCCGTTACTGCAGTGTACTGTCCATGCTAATGAGGAAAAGCGGACAAAAAGCTGTGACTTACAGATTGAGGATCTTCCTGCACCTAATTAAATATTAGCAAACCCTTTAAGGAAAGCTAGTAAGATCAAAAGTATACGGTTTTTGAACTGAACTATCTTAAGGCGATTAATTACGAACGTGACTAGTATAAAAATAAACTAAATGCTTTGGAGCTCAAAACCACCTTAAACCCTTGACGAGAAACTTCTGCTTTCTAGATAAGACACTACGTCCATGACGATAGGTTGCTCTCGCTCTAGTATCATACATCAAGCGATTTTCTTTAAAAAGTAGGAGCTCTTATTCTCTAATTTTGCAAAAGTAAGTTCATCGCGTTTCAATCGAATTTTGTCAAAAAAATTCGTCACTTTAGAAACGATAAGGGAACTGAAGTCGAAATGCCCCCCTCCCGCAAGTGTTTCTGGGATCATTACAAAGCACTCGCCGGCCGTCAGTTAGCGGAGCTAGGTTTTCTTTAAGTTTTGAAGCCACCACGTTAAAACCGTTTCAATACAACTGAATGCGTCTGAGATTTGACAAGGAAGCTGCCTTACATGTAAGCGAATTACCCTTGCAGATTTGAAAAACTGATCTACATGTACTTTACCGTTATATCTCCAACGGACACATTTCGCAGATGACCATACTTTGTTGTATTTTGATTGGCAATGTCTGTGAGGATTTCAGGATTATGCGTGCCAATTCCAAAGGTAAAAATTATGACTGAGTTATTCAGCTCTAAGTTTCTGTCTCTTATCGTTTTGAAGATCAACTCTCTTTTATCTGTGGGATCACCATCCGTGAGAAATAAAATAATTCTCCTCTTAGTTTTGTCAGATTCACCAACAGCAGAAGCTTTCAACAGATCAAAGGCCTTTTGCAATCCCACTTGATAAACAGATGTACCTGAAGAGTCATGAATCAATAAATAGTTAAAGTTAGTTTCGCATAATATGGGGGGTAGGTAGGTTGCCGACGCGGAAGAGAATACTGTAAATGATCTAATAAACGCCCGGGGCGTCTATCTAATTTTAGGGTTCCAAGCAGAGGTGTTTGATAGATAGGAGGCGTTCATTCTCATAATTGTAACAGGCTCAACAAAAATAAAATGCTTTCCGCAAAAACATCAACGGGCCATCAGTTGATACGTGCAGGCCGTTTAGAGATTCATATTGCTCTTTTAAATCCCATGGCAGTCTCCATTTTAACCGTAGACAGAACCGCTAAATCAACAAGCGGAATCTAGCTTGAGATGGCAAATGATATACTCTACAGTTATTTATATGGGCAGCAGCCTACGTTTGCCTCCAGCCATGTCGCTGTCCGGTGCAGGTTGCTGATGATCATGATTCCTAGCAGGACAGCAATAGTTGGACCTTGATGCCGCTACTTGTCACATGGCTGCCCAAACATTGTAAGGTACTACAGTGAAACTTCTCGTCAGCGGACAACCTCAGGGCGCGAAAAAGGTGTGCGTTATTGGAGCTGGACGCTCAAGAGAATGGTTTTCATAAGTGTCCACTATAGATTTAGGGGTTAACTGGCCGCTTGTGGGAGCTTGTAGGCTGCGTAGAAGTCGTTTCCGTTTCCTTTAGGCCTAGCGGGGAAAGCGCAAAACGACGCGCGCGGAAAAAAGGAGCGGGAGGGGGAGAAAGAAGAAACGGTTTCCTTTCCTACCCCCCCCCACCCTTTCTCTTTTACTTTTTTTCTCCTTTTTTCCTTGCGCTCTTTCGTGCTTGCCCAATGAGCCTAAAGGAAACGGAAACGACTGCTACGCAGGCTAGGGAGCTTGCCGAAGTGAAACATGCCCAAACAGCCCGGGAGAAAGAAGAAACAGTTTCCTTTCCTCCCCCCCCCCCACCCTTTCTCTTTTACCTTTTTTCTCATTTTTTCCTTGTGCTCTTTTGCGCTTGCCCAATTAGCCTACAGGAAACGGAAACGACTGCTACGCAGGCTAGAGAGTTTGCCGAAGTGAAACATGATAGTGAAAAACTATTAGACTTACGTTGAGCAATAAACTTGGGTCCATCAATGTATTTCTTCAGGCTTCTTTTATTCTCAGGAACTGCTAGAGCTAATCGCTCACTGAAACAAGATGTGACGTCAGAACCACCATCCGTTGAAGCTTCTGTGTTGAAGGAAACTACATTCACCTTGGAGAAAAGTAACCAAAAATATATCATTTTCATCATGATCAATGTATTTATGTATCATGGAAGCACCGGATGAAATTATACAATAAAAGAATGATATTTTCAAACGATAATATCAAAAAGAAGTAGATGCTATCTAAACATCAGAAATACTTTTTTCCCTAGTCTCCGATTTTTGATTACTGATATTTGATATTCAAAACTCGCGGGAAACTCGATCTAAAAAAAAGTGGTCTGTGGAAACGCTGTTACATGGGCACAGGGAAGTTGCTTGCTCTAAATTATGGGCTTCTATTTCAAACCGCCAATGTAACTGAGCAGGAGCTTATAACCCGGAGCGAGCACCTCCTTTGTGCCCATGCAAATATACAACAATTTGTCAAGGTCTGTACTCTTATCGATCATAGAAATGACGTCAAAATAGTCTAAACTCAAGTGGAACCACAAGCCGTAACTGAGTGGTTTCACTACATTAAAGTTTTGTTCATTTTGACATTAGTTATATGGTTGATAAAGATGTAGACGATGGGAAATTGTTGTAGATTAGTTTTTTACAGTACCATTTACAGATTTTTAGGCCGATTTTCAGTTAA